ATAAGAGATAAAGCGTAAAAGACGGACGGACGGAAATCCCGATTTCTATATACCCTCCCACTTTTCAAGCTGGGGGTATAACAACCCGAACCCACAAAAACACGGACCCCTAATCTACTCGTTTAATATCATGAAGAGTTATTTATTTACATGCACAGTGTATGCTTGAATTTATCATAAATATACTTTAATGAGCGATTCCACAAAAAAACCCCAAAAATTCTTGACCGAAAACTGTTATCACTGTGACACTGGATTTTTTTTTTTCAAATTTCAAATATTGAGAAATAAATGAAAGGACTTTGGTTAGTTATTAACTGGAAGCCGTTCTGCATCTCTTCATTGGTGGTTGAATTTGTAGATTTATCAAAAACTTTTTATACCCACACTTGAAAAGTGGGAGGGTATATAGTAATCGGGATTTCCGTCCGTCTGTTACGCTTTATCTCTTATCTGCAACTCCTCTTATACTACTGAGTGAAATTTAATGAAACTTTCACAGAATCTTTATTACATATTGTCATTGTGCACCTCCTATTTTACTTTTTTATTTGACATGTATTTAAGGTTTCCCATAGTAAAACATGGACATTGCCATTTTACCTATGACGTCACATATAGAAGCTTCTGGATAACATTTGATAGGACGAGTTATTCCTGTTTACACATTACCATAAAACAATATATAGCAACACATAGACATTATGGGAAGCGGGGGTATCATTTAGTGAGCTCATTGCTCACAGTACCTCTAGTTTTATGTAGAGAACAATAAACAATTTAAACTAGAGATACTGTGAGCAATGAGCTTACTAAAGGATAACCCCCGCCTCCCATATGGTTATAACTGATGACAAAGTCCATGTTTTGCTGTGGTCGGGAAACCCAAAATATGTGTCGGATCAAAAAGTAAAATAGGAGGTGCACAATGGCAATATGTAATTTCCTGATCATGACAACGAGCACACGGCGGGTGTGACCGGTCGGCAAGGGATGCTCACTCCTCCATGGCACCTGATCCCATCTCCGTGGGCACAATGGCAATATGTAATAAAGATTCTGTGAAAGTTTCATCAAATTTCATTCAGTGGTATGAGAGGAGTTGCGGATAAGAGATGGGTACCCCAAAGCGTTACAGACGGACGGACAGACGTACGTCTGTTACGTATTGGGGTACCCATCTCTTATTCACAACTTCATACCAATGAAGGAAATTTAATGAAACTTTCACAGAATCTTTATTACATATTGCCATTGTGCACCTCCTATTTTCCTTTTTGATCTGACACATATTTTGGATTTTCCAGAGCAAAACATGGACACTGCCATTATATTCATATGGGAGGCGGGGTATTATTTAGTGAGCTCATTGCTCACAGTACCTCTAGTTTGTATATTACAATACTAGTATATCATTCTCCCTTGCACATGTGGCGTACGTCTCTCAGCTGATTCGATACACAAGAACATGTTTTTTGTAGGAGCAACTACAAAAGATGCAGACTACTGTCATAATGGTAATCTCACATGGGGTAAACATTACGCAAATTCGATAAAATGACTACGCTTACAAATACGAGTACGTCGTTAAATCGAATGTTGATAAAGGTCTTTCATACATTCAAATTTAATTGTTAGGTCATTGTACCTTTTACTGAATAGATGAAAAGTTGAGGAGATCTTTTGTGTCATACAGTTTAGTTGAAAGTTGGCTATTGGCATATTATCCAAATACGAGGGGTGATCAAAAAGTTCGCAAACTAATTGAATAACTTTTAAAATATTTTTCAAAGTTAGATTTTGAGTTTATTCTTTTTCAAAGTAGGCCCCTCTAGATTTTATGCACTTTTCCCATCGGTCTGCCCATGCGCAAAACACGTGATCCAAGCCATCACGTGACATGACCCTTAGCACCGTGTTCACAGCAGTACCAAGATCTTCCTGGGATTCATATTTTTCTCCCCGTAGGTTATCTTTCAAAACTGGAAATAGCCAGAAGTCACAAATTGCCAAATCTGGGCTGTGGGGGGATGAATTAGGTTTTCTATACCCAATGTTTCCATGGTGTCCATCACAACCCGACTTTTATGGCTAGGTGCGTTATCATGGTGCTGAATGAATCCAGATCTAGATCTTATCAGATCTGGGCGCTTTCTCTTTACTGCTCTCATCAAATCTGATTTGATAACCCGTGCATAGTAGTCCCAAGTAACTGACGTTTTGGGTGGTACCATGTGATTTAGAATTATACCGTTGATGTCACAGAAAACTATGAGCATAACCTTCCCTGCTGACTTGGTTACGCGTGTTTTTATTGGTGTTGGCGAGGAAGGATGCTTCCAAATTGAACTTTTGTTGTTTGCTTTCTGGCTCATAGAAATTTACCCAAGTTTCATCACATGGGATAATTCTATTCATGAAATAATTTTGTTCTTTCATATCTACTAACGTAGGACCGGCACGCATTCACTCTCACCCTCATTTGCTCTGGCAGAAGGAGGCGAGAATGTTCCATAAGACATGCCAAAATCATTATCTATTTCCCTAATCGTAACTCTTCGATCTTTCATTACATATTGTTCAACCTCAGACACGTTTATCTCGGTACTTACGTTCAGCGGGCACCCAGATCTATCATCATCTTTCACCGTCTCCCTTCCCTCAACAAAACGTTTCATCCACTTACTTATTGTACCTTTTGAAAGCCCACATTCCCCATAAACTTTATGTAAATCATCGTATATTTCCGTAAAGGATTTACCTAGTTTTACATAAAATTTTATTATAGTTCTTTGTTCAAGTACCATTGACTCATTTTCGTCACAGTCGCCTCTATATTGACGTCATTTTAACATCATGACGTCATAATTATGACGCACATTGATTTCAACATGACTCAAACTGCATAAAGCACATGTTTAGGGCTATATTTGTGACAACTATTTCATTCTTGTCAGAACTGTAGTTAGGTAGATAGAGAATTAGTTTGCGAACTTTTTGATCACCCCTCGTATAATACAGATGTAGCGGACTCTTTCGTTTCAATTTAACTGGGATATTCCGAGACTTATGTTGATGTACATAAATCTTCGTCACAATATCTGAATGTGGAGTTGATGACAAAAGTATGATTTTTCTTCCCATTTTGAATGTAATACCGGTATATGGAGATAACTAACAGTATTCAAGCTCAAATGTCCATTAGATAATACAAAATAGGAGCAGAGCAAACACAGACCTCCAAAATATCAGAGGTGGGATCATGTGCCATATGTTGGAGTAAGCATCCCGTGCTGACCGGTCACATCTGCCATGTGCTCCTTGTCATGATTGAAAAAAAAAAACAGAAAAAATTGTCAACAATTTGGTGTGTACAGTTACATATAATGGCCTAATAATTAGTATGAAAAGGTCAGTCAGCATTTGACTTAATGATATATAATTGTATTTGCTGACAAGGTCATTGTTTAAATCTTCGTGGACATATCTTAATGTGGAGTTGATGACCACATTTTTCCCTCCTTCTCATTTTGAACAAGTTTTGCTTCATAGAAGAATATGAAACAGGTCGTTTGATAAAGGAACACAAATTAGTGTCTATCAAAACCCACCGCACAAAAAGTTCTTTTAAATATCAACCTCAGATTACATGTATTTTGAATCAGATTAAATTAATTTTTCTTAATTTTGTAAAAACTAATGGCAAGATAGAAAAGTTTCTGAGTTTACCTTTCTGGAAGAAACAGTTGTCTATGATATAAAAAAGCCAGATCTATCATTTATCTACGGAACTGATTGTTTCAGGCTTTTTGATATTGCTTAACTTGTAAAAATTCTGTAATTCTAAAGTTTCTAAATCATGTAAATGTATACAGTTTAAAAAATCATTTGATTTACATAACTTACTTTTTAATATAGTGAAGCACAGCTGTCTGAAGTTTCTCCTTTTCGGTATTTAATATTTTTGTGCGAAGCAAATGTAGGGGCTTGGAAGCTAGGTCTGCTGGAACCTGCATGTGTCTTTGTAGTTAGAGAGTTTGATGAAATTTAGATATTCACTAATGGAATTTAGTTATTCAATACAGAACGAAGTCAGTTTTATTGACTGGGAGGTCAAACTCAATACAAACTTAACATAATTTTGAAGAGTTTCATCCTTAGAAAATGAACTTGAAAGATGTGAATCGCCTACTATTAAATGATTGTCTTTGTGTAGGTAAATGAAACTTATGTATTATTAGAAATTCTTATGTCTAGGAGATTTAGTACATTGATGAGATTATAGCTATCAAATACATACACTTAAATATTGAAAATCTTGTTGCTAGTATTTTGTTGTACATTTTGCTGTTCTATTTTCGTATGTATATATACCTGTATATTCAATGCGGTAAAAATATCGAAATTTGTTCCGTTTTTTGTATATTTCATGTACATTTCAGGGGCGTAGCATCGTTTTTGAAAGTGGGGGGCTAGCCAGAGAATTTTTTTTTACTCACCTGGAAAAGTTGACAACTTTTTCAAAGCCGACTTACTTTCAATTCCAATTTTTTTCGTACATTTTCCTACAATTCCTTCATATCACTATACTATGGTAAAAAGTGGGGGGTCAACCATACTTCCAGTGAACATTTCCTATAGTTAAGGTAATGTTGGGGAAAAAAGTGGGGGGCCAACCATACTTCCAATGAACATTTCCTATAGTTAAGGTAATGTTGGGAAAAAAGTGGGGGGCCAGCCCCCCCCCCCCCCCTGTTGCTACGCCCTTGCATTTAAAGCTATTATTCACTTGCAAAATTATATATTATATGAATTTCACGTGTTATTAGTTTGTAGTATCCAGTAAGGTTTCAGAGTAATTTATATTTGCGGAAATAGCACAGATAAACGCATAGCTATCCTATTGTTCATGAGTTTTAAGGAAATAATATGTTATCCACACATGCAGATATTCCGAAAAACGACCTCGGTTTAAATGTTCCGCGATGACCCGTGGATATTTTTAGGTGAAAGATCATATGACTTAATATGTCTCGAGGGATACAAACACATTCTTATACTTTGATTGATAGATTATTACAGATTTAACAATTGAAAATTATGATAAATCAAGGAAATAGTGAACACATGATGGAGACTGATTGAGATGACATTTCTTATTCACCAGCTGCCAGGAGAGGGCTGCAGATAAAAACACCACTATCTAGAACATTGCTGTTTTATTCTTAGGACAACAGGTAATATTTCAGGTAGAATTTAGGGTCTTTTTAAGTATTTATGATTAACTGATATATTTCAATTATTTGTGACATTTGAATATACAAAGTATGTTACATTAAATGTAACATTTATATAACCCTTTTAAACCTGTACTGATTAATTTAAATTCTATGGAAAGCAGGTCATGTTTTATTTCAATAATTTTCTAAGGTGGTTAAAGTGCGATGTACTATATACTTTTTTTTTATATCTTTTTAAACAAGATACGAAAGATTATTTGAAGAAAATTTGAAATACAGAATTTTACAGCTTTTTTTAATTAAAATAACAGGAATGGCAATATTATTTAAAAGAAATCTGAAATGCATTTTTTCTTTACTACAATAAGGTGGATTTTTGTAGTTGAATACTGTATTATTCAAATAAAGTCGTAAAAACAATATGCCTTGTGTTAAACCACTTTCATTTTGCTAAAATATGCCGTTCAAAAATGTCAATTTTTTGAAAATGACTTAATGTACATGTATATCATTTGATTTCTAGCATTCTAATTACTTGAAACAATTAATTAATTAGCTTCACGAGTAATATCTTATGTTAGGAACATGCATGTTATTCATTCATAATCATATTTAACTAGGAAATATTTTACATTACTCAGCTATTAATGATACATTGTATATATACAAGTGTTTGTATAGTATCCAAAAATAACAAAAAATAAGATGAATTAAGAAAATACCATGTTTAAAATGAAACTTCGTAGAAGGTTAATTGACCATTAGACTAGATATCAATAAGTAAGAATATGAAGTTCATAAATAAAATGTTACCTTTTACAGGGTTCAAATTTATATTAATTCTGAATTCGAAGCCAAGGTTTGGATAATGTCACACTAGAAATCTATTTTTATAATAGAAAATGTTTTGTTTAACTGTTGTTATATAATTATTGACGCTTTTTTTTCATACATTTAAATAAATGCCACCACTTGCCATTTTTATATATGATAACAAAGTATACGTTTAACACCATTATACTAATATATAATTATTGAAGCTTCATTTTCATACATATACATAAATATCTTAAAGCAAATTAGCAACATTTTTCTATATAACAAATTATACGTTTAACACCAATAGAGCATGACCCTTGTTACAGTGGAGATTGTGTGGAAAAAAAAAGAAAGAAGTCTATATCAATCTCACTGTAACTAGTATTTAGGGTCAGGTCACCCTCAAATCATTTATTCAGCTTATAAAATGTACAATATGTGACAGTTTTGTGATAATAAAATCAGATTATAAAAAACATCAGAATGAATGAATTTTACAAAGGTATGAATATTATTTTCCTCACATACATAGTTTGAATGGCATTACATTTTCATTTATATAATATATCTTGAACATATTTAAACACAGGATTTTTTACATTATAATAATATATAATTATTGACGCTTCACTTTCATACATTTACATAAATATCTCTGTGCAAATTGAAAGCACCATTTTTATATATGATAAAATATAAAGTCTTAACACCATTATACAAAATATATAATTATTCTAAAAATCTATTTTCATACATATACATAAATATCTCAAAGCAAATTAATAAATTTAGATTATAAAAAACATCAGAATGAATGAATTTTACAAAGATATGAATATTATTTTCCTCACATACATAGTTTGAATCTGGCATTACATTTTCATTTGATGATCTTTTGACTTATTCATCTTGAACATATTTTAAACATAAAGTTTCCAGTTACATGAAAAATAACATAGCAAAAAACTAATGTGCCTTATAGTGGATTAAAAAATGTGAATACATGAATACATGTACATGTATATAGTTTATCACGGCAGCAGATACTGCCAATAACACTGTAACTAGTATTAGAATCACAAAGAATTTTGAAACAAATGATTTATTTTCTCTTTGAAATTTGTCAAATCATGTGATTGTAATAGTAAAAAAATCGATTTCATTTCATTTTTGAATGCATTTTTAATACTGAAGTCACTTATTTTCAAATTCTCAAATTTAATTTTATTTCTTGTTTTCCATATGACCCATTTATAAATACATATTACAATGTTAACAATAAATGTTAAATTATACAGTCTTATCTTAAGGACTGGTCTCTAGTCTCACAGTGGGGTTCGAATCCGATACGTAAGGATCAACTCTTTACTCAGCGACCCTAGATCAGACGCTCTAACCATTACGCAACGCGGGTGACTAAAAAGAGAATGTGATGAGATAAAAAACAAATCTTTTCATGAAGATTAGCAGGGCCACATCTCAGGAGAAATATACAAACACCCGCAAGAGCAGATCAACAACGTATGACATTTTGAGCAATAACATTAACATTTTGAAAAACAAAATGTGTTTGTGAACATTGATACCCCCGTATGGCGCTTTTGACTAGGGGTTAAGCTTTCTTAAATGCAAGATAAAATCCAAGGTCAAGGTCAAAATTGTTTGTTTCAAGAGGAAGGCTTGTACCAAGAGGAAGGAATTTTTACAAGGATTACACCTGTGTTATATGAAACTCCTAGTACTAACTATTCAAAAGCTATAGCCAAGATTAAATTTCGTTTACAAAGTGTGTCAAACTCTAATCAAGGCCAATGGGTAGAAATATTACTACGAATTAAAAGGTCTTGTCAAAATAAATCCACATGTATGTGAATTATAAAAGTCATGGCACCAGCTGTTCAAAAGCAATGGCTAAGGTTAAAATTTGGTATTTTTTGTAAAAGTAGGTCAACTCGAAGGTAAAGGTCAAAAAGTTAGATTTGAAGGTGTCCATAGACAGGTCTTGTCAAAAGAATACACCTGTGAAATATGAAAGACATAGCTCCACTCAGTAAAATGTTATGGGGAAGGTTAATTTTTTAACAGACAAACTGACGGACGGGTGGCGAAGTAGTTAGAGCATCTGCTCAAGAGTTGCTAAGTAAGGAGTTGATTCTTACTTCATGGGTTCGAATCCCATTGTGGGACGTAGATAGCTGCAGATCTGTAGCGTTATGGTTTTATATATTTGTCTTTAACCATAACGCTACAGATCCCGTAATGCAAAAAAGGTGCAGTTTACGGCGCAATATTTTTTGCGCAATTTTGGGGATAATTTCTTCAATTTCTAGCATTGGTCAATCAACTACCTTTCACTCCTTATAATTCTATACACATTCTGTAGCCAATAATTATATTTTATCCACCTCCCAACCATTGAATGATGTCTCTAAAGGCAATTTAACATCGTCGGAAACACACGGGTGATCTCGTCTTTACTTATCACGGGTGATCTCGTCTTTACTTATCACCCGTGGGTCAACTCGCCGAAATATCGCCGTAAAATATGCTAATTTGTTGTTTTTAGTCAACCAATCAGAAAGTTGGAACTCTTCAATTTTGAAAAATACGTTTATTACTTTGCTATTTATGGTAAATATTTTGACGCTCGTTAAAACGTGCGAAGTTTGATTTAAAACATTGAAAATCAATTCGTACAGTTCACTGACATTAATATCCGTCAGATATTATGAAGGAGTACCTCTTTCTAACTGCAAAATGCATCGGTGAGTGGATTTATCAGCTGTGTTAACTACGGAATGAGTTTTTCATGTTTTTGGCAATGCCGAACTTGCATACGTAACGTCAACTGTGATTCGTTGTTGCGCATCGCGACTCTGTAATGCGGCCAATCAAATGATCCATGCATATTTAATTACATACGACGATTTTTCGGCGAGTTGGCCCACGGGTGATAAGTAAAGACGAGATCACCTGTGGGTTTCCGACGATGGCAATTTAATAAACTCGCTTGAAGTGAATTTTCAGCAATCTAACATATAATTTTAATCAAGCCAGTTTATCACTTGTAGAGACGATTATTATGGGTAGGTAGATGGATTAAATATACAGATTAGATAAATAATATGCCTAGAATTAGTGAGTGAAAGGTTGTTAATTGACCGATGCTGGAAAGTGGAGAAATTATCCCCAAAAGTGCGCAAAAAAATTGCGCCGTAAATTGCACCTTTGTTGAATTACGGGATCTGTAGCGTTATGGTCAAAGACAAATATATAAAACCATAACGCTACAGATATGCAGCTAGGACGTAGAGTCCCGTGTCGCAGTAGGTGCTGGCACGAAAAAGATCCCTCTCTGTTTAATTTCCCTGAGTGCCGAGTATAGGATAGAATCTGCAGCATTCCACTGGCAAGTGATGGCGTCTCCATATGAATGAAAAATGCTTGAGAGGGACGTTTAACAATATACAATCAATCAATCACTCACGGACGGATAGGACAAAAACTAAATACCACCGAATCTTCGATTACGGGGGGCATAATTAGCATTTATCGAAAAAATGAAAAGTAAACTGTTTTAATCTCTTTCTTAATTGCTTCGTCAAATAACAAAAATTATTGAGGGATAAAACTTAACCAACTTTGCAAATTCAAACCTCAAAATGAAGAGTAAATAGTATACATGTATTATTTTTGCAGAGCTTTCAATGATTTCAAAATCTCTCATTTGACGGTCTGTACAGTTTCGTTTTCACATTCACTTGACAAAGTGTGAACTACCATCACTTTGTATCATAATCATAACTGAAAGGTAACATCAAATCACTACACAAGAAGGACAGGAAAAAAATTAAATCGTGTTACATCCCGTGAAAATCAAACTTATACATGAATACGAGTACACATATATACTGATTAGATAAGGATTCATATACACAATATCAAAGGCAAAAAATAAAATTTTGCACTTTTTGACAACCCCGCCAATTGTCAAATAGGAAAGTTATTTCTAAATGATTATCAAAATTCACCAAAACTTGGTAGAAATAGTCGAAACAGAGGAAAAAACTAATGCTAATCTTAATTAATACACTGAAATTTTATTCTTTGCAAAGAAAGTCACACCCGCAACCTTAAAGGCAGCAATAGAACCTTATCTACAAAGACATTTTAATTTTACCTTAACACCATGCAAGCTTTACCTATATGCAAGTCTCAGAGAAAATTCAAATAAATAATGTTTTCTTATCAGGCAAAATACCTCCATCGACTAGGTACAGGGTCCCTTGATATGGCAAGTTTAGACACAGACGAATCAGAGCCTTTACTGAAGAAGGGTGTAAACATCGGGCTCAAAATGGAGGAGAAGAAAACGCTGGGGCTAAAGCGGCCTATGTCTGGTCAACAACTGTTAGTGGTGGGCTGTATACTGATGTGTGAGTTGTGTGAACGTTTGACATACTACAGCGTGACTGCCAATGTTGTCCTTTTCTGTACCGATGTTTTGGAACTGGAAAGTACACAAGCCGCCACCGTCAGCTTGGTGTTCTCGGGTAAGGCTAAATCTATAAAAGGAAAAGCTTGGAAAGAGAAGTCAACAGTGCTTTCTTTGTTGTTTTAAATAAATTTGTACCGGAACTAAAAAAAATCAAAATAAGCAATGTAAAATCAGGAAATATATATATTTGCATCCCATTGTCTAGCTAATTAGCAAATATCTTTGTTACCCTTTGGAATTTTTCTCTTAATATAAAGATTCAAATGAAATTAGGAAACGCGTTTATAATGAATCGGAGGTGATACTTGCTGTGATCACTAGTCCAGTTTAAACGCACTGTGAGCACTACTGCAAGGGAAGTAAAAGCATGTTCTACGTATGAAAACTTTTCAAAAACTTGCAAGATATGGACAAATAAGTTGATGACATCTACAACAATATTGTTTTAAGTTAACATTTTGGAATTTTTTGGTCAATACAATGACTTTGTTTGTTAAAAAAAATCTTTGTTAAAACGAATGTTGACGGAATCTATACACGGCCTTTATTTCCACACTTTGTTTTTGTCACTTTTTACGCAATCAAAGCAACGAGCATATGTGGGTGTGACCAGTCGACAGCAGGTTCTTACACTTTTTTGTCACCTGATCCCATACATGCTCATATTTTTTTATATTAAGAATAACTGTATGTTATCTTCAATTTCAAGCAACAGTAAACGATCGAACTTTTACTTGCATTTTGGGATTTTTGCGAAATTAGTTATATAGCAAAACAGGTCTTCGGTTGTTCATTTGTCTGGGTCGGATACACCCCCCCCCCCAAAAAAAAATAATTAAAAACATTAAATAAAAGTTTGTAAACGGTAATAGAAAATGGCACTTCAAAAGAAAAATGTTCTTCCTACCGTTTTTATTGTTTGCCTCTATATTTTTAAAATGCAGTTTTGCAGAAATGAACCACTGACCTTAGATTCGATACAAGATTCCTCTGTACTCCTAGTAATAGAAGTGAATAATGTTATCACAATCCTACTAAGTAAACCTCGCACAACACATTAAAAAAGTTTTGATCGGATACAAAAGACAACATTATTACAAACATAATTGTAGACTCTCTCTTTTCTTAGAACATGATGTCCACTTTCCTCCGTTTTATCCTAAAAAATTGTCATATTTCTAAATACAATCATACTATTAATATCGGTGATATAAACTTTAATCAAACAAAAGATAACGTGGGTTTATTATGGATAATGGCGTTGAAATAATCTAAACAAGGGGGTATCCCCGGTACATACACTTATCAACTCGAGTACATTAATGAAAAATACATCTCATGTGACCTATACTCCAGTGAAATGGCAGCTCGGGATGAAGAAAAAACAATTCTGTTATCAGCGGATGGCTGGGAAGGGGGTGACAAAACTTCCCCGCCCTCCATCTGGAGGGGGAAACACCTGCTATTGGCTATGGCTATTTTGTTCACGGAACTTTGTGAAAGACTAACATATTACAGTGTTACTGCAAATATGGTCTTATTTTGCACCTCGGTTTTAGAACTTGAGACTACCACGGCTGCCTCAGTGAGTCTTCGATTTACTGGTCAGTTATTCTGAAAGGTCCTCTTATATACTGCTGTAAATCAACTTTTAATCGCGAGAAATTTATTTCCGCGTATTTATGCGAGACGATGTGCTCCCGAATATCATTTTCGCGTATATGAGTATTAAGATTACCACAACTCGTGGTATTGTCTCCCTTATAAAGTGTGATCTTCGACATACTGGTTAATGTAGAATATTTGCCTCAAGGCCGTGTCACACTGTCACGATTTATGCTACGATTACCCACGAATTAATAAAAGTTGAAAATCGCTTTTCATCGCCAGGTTTGTCTTGCGATTTTTGTACAGCGTGTGGAATATTTTGCTGCTAGAATTGTGTGTCTGCGATGTCTGTGCGACACGAGGTTTGTACGATTTAAGTACGAACTGAGGCGACTGCGTTACGAACTGGTTACGATATTTCTACGATTACGAAGGATTAAACGCGGTTACATACGATACTCGTACGAAGGACTACATGTACGATATACCACGTTACATACACGATATTTCCACGACTACTGGCGATTTCTTACGAATATACATGTACTGGAATGCATATATAGAGTAATGGGAGATTTGTCTGAAATCATTTAACATCATAGTTATGTTATTTGATCATGGTAAAAACTACACTGTGGAACTTTTGATTATGTTCAATTTCTTCAAGTTTTTATTGTACACGGTGTTTATAGTTTCTGTTACACAATTGTATTTTCAATTTATTTTACTTTTCTTAGCTTCTTTCCTTTTATTTTAGGCAGTATTTTGATTTCAACAGTGTTAACATCAGAAACCGTCTGCCTACATCGTATTAACTCGTAGTTCAATCGCACAGTTTCCGTACACACATCAATGTGTGTGTCGTACTATGTTCTTATCAATTCGAAGAACACTCGCAGTAACTCGAGAGACACTCGCACAAACTCGAAGGACACTCGAGGTAACTCGTAGGACTCTCGTAGTGTCGAGAGTACCACGAAGTTCCGCGAATGTCGCACGAACTTTGAAGATTTACTACGAATATGAGTAAGTGCAGTGCAGATGCTAAAATTGTCTACGAATAATTACAAATCGTGCTGTGTCCACGATTGTTTTGAACATGCTCAAAACAATCGCCAAGTTAGGAAGATATCCTACGAGTACTTCTGCGAGAAATCCCGATTTGCTGCGATTTTTTAATTCGTAATGAATTGTAGCTATAAATCGTGACAGTGTGACACGGGCTTTACTGGGCATTTAGGATCGCCGCTTCGGTCATTTAACTTTACGGGTTTTAAAGATGAAAGAAGCGAGTTATGTCAGTTACTTTCTTCTTCGATAACAAAATCTGCAAAGACTGAAAGTAAAACTTTTTTATGAAAAAGTAATACGCTTTTCGCATTGCTCACAAGGAAAAGCCTGCATGAAAACTAGGAAAGATGACATTCTTGGAAACTGTGAGCGCTTTTGCTGTTTTGTAGATATTTATATGCCACCTCTGATGTGTTTGGAGGCCCGTGTTTGCTCTGCTCCTTTTTTGTATTGTTTAACGGACTTTTGATCTTGAATACAGTTCGTTATCTCCATATGTTTCATTCTTACAATTTAAATAAAATCACAATTAATTTAACAGAGTATTACATATTTTCACGCGTTGTGTGTGAAATAATTTATGCAATGAAGAACGGAAGCTAAAGAACGAGTACTTAAACATTTGAAAAGCATACATGTATATACTTTGCTTGCAGGGACTGTGTTTATCATCCCCGTGATTGGTGGTTACATCGCTGACACTTTGGCGGGAAAATACAATACAATCTTAGGATCTGGACTTATATACGTCTTAGGTACCTCTTTTTGAACCGAAATCCCTTGTTATTCGATTAAAAAAAAACATTCGATTTAAAAAATGCAATACTTTTTTGTCAGTCAGTTATCTGAATATTTGGTATTTGGTTTTCTGAAATTTGCAATAAACGGCACTGTATTTCAGGGTTGTTCCTCCTTCCGGCCTCAGCAATGAATTATGAAAATTGGTTTGGAAGTGACGGTGACGGCTCTAGTTACGACTTATCTACGGTACCTTCTGCAAATATTAATATTTGATATTTTAAATTTCATAAACTGGAAATTGCCAAAAAAGATAAATTAAATGTTCTTTCTAATTGAAATTACAAAAAACTGTAGAAAAATAAAATTTATCTTTCTTGAAAATAGATGGCATTGCTCTTATACGATCGTTGCACATAGTAATTTAATTTTGACAAGATTTTCGTAAAGTTCTTTTTGTTTTGCTTTAGGAAATGCGGAGAGTTTATTATTTTATGGGACTAGTATTTGTTGCCATAGGCACAGGAGGCATAAAAGCAAATGTTGGTCCATTTGGTGCTCAACAAGTAGAAGATCTGGGACCAGAAGCAGTCCAGTCATTTTTCAACTGGTATTACGATTTTAATTGCTTGTTAAACCCTCTTTAGAACTGTCAACACTTTCTTTTTCAGCATATCTGTTAAAATGATTTTGTTTTGTTAGGTTTTACTGGTTTATAAACGCTGGGTCTTTCGTGGCGTTCCTGGGTGTGGCTTATGTACAACAAAACATCAGTTTCAGCTTGGGCTATCTCATCCCATTTATTTCAATGATACTAGCGCTCGTCATTTTTGTTGCAGTGAAATCCAAATACAAACAACGACCACCCGGAGGTATGTAGAATGGAAAATCAGTTCAATTCTAAACGACATTTAATTGAATGCAATTTTTAACATTTGTACCATTATCTACAGATCGAAGGAACTAAAAACAGTAGTATCTGAAATGAAAAAAAAACATACTTTCTGTAGAAAGATGGAAAATAAACAGTTCTTGAAAGGAAATTCCAAATACATGTACTCATTAGTTCAAACACAGACCAAATTTCGACTATGAAAGTGGTCCGTATAGTTCTGCATGTAACATACAAGTATTGTTAAGTGTAAGCAAATTGCAGTTGCAAAAGTAACCATTGTGGTCTGTAAGTAGATCCCATTGGATTCGAAACCATTTTGTTCTGTAGACAGATTTTAACATAGGTAACCTTTTTGTTCTGTAGACAGATTTTAACATAGGTAACCTTTTTGTTCTGTAGACAGATTTTAACTTTGGTAACATTTTTGTTCTGTAGGCAGATTTTAACATAGATATTCTTTATTATCCATAATCAGGTTATGTTAGGTAGGCTTCGTTTTCTGAAGGCAGATTATTACATAAGTAGTGCTTTATCTGTAGGAAGATTAGCAATAATATATTTATATAACCTTCTTGTTTTGTAGGTAGTATAATCGTCGATTCTTTGGGTGTTTGTTGTGCGGCAGGCTGCAGAAACTTTGACAAAGCCCGAAACACCAGTGGAGGAAAGTACAAAGATGAATTTGTGGATGGGGTGGTTGCTGTTCTTCGAATTATCCCCGTGTTTCTATTAATTATCTTGTACTGGGCTATTTATTCTCAGGTTAGTTTATTAAGAATATTCAGTTTAATTTTATGAAGCTATGATTTTATGACAATGGACACACGGTGAATGTGACTGGTCAGTCGACAGGGGATGCTTACTCCTCCATGACACCTGATCCCACCTGTGATGTTTTAGAGGCCCGTGTTTATTTGGCTCCTGATTTGTGTTGTTTGAATTGACTTTTAAGGTTGAATACTATTCATTATCACCATTTATTTCATGGCGTATAAACTACATGTAAAATTTTAGGTTTGTACATTTGACAATTTAAAAAAAAAATACTAATATGAAATACTTATCTGAAATTGTGAACATTTTTTTGTAGATGCAGTCGACATTTTTCCTGCAAGGTGAACGAATGGACGCCAAAATAGGCAGAGTGACAATGCCTATAGCTGTGCTGAATGTGTTCAATACCATCATCATCCTCATTCTTATCCCTATCATGGATAGAATCATTTATCCATTTTTGGCCAGACACAACAGGAGTCCTACACATCTACAAAGAATAGGTCAGTTCAATTTTCACTGTAAAATAGGATTCTGGAATTTAGATACAATTTTGTAGAACTCCTGCATAGAAAATTTAAATGTTTAAGTTTGTCTACAAATCATTATAAAAATGAAATACAAATTAAAAAGTTAAGAATTTCACTCCATACCAAGCTTATTGTTACTGTGCATAAAAACAGTCAGATATCATAATATTGTAAAATTAATGATATCAAATGACCTTGACTGCCTTGAAAAGGACATCGTCAGAGACCCAAGGTCAATCTTGCCTTCAGTAAGCACACGAAAGCTTGGCTGTTGGTTCGACAATCATAGAAGCAAAATGGGAAGTAAAGTTTCTGTGGATTAAACTGATATGTTTTAATATTTTCCATTTCTAAACCTTTTCTCTATAATAACCCTTTGAAAGTAAGCGGAGTTGATTTCCTGATAATTCTGCCGGAATGTAAATTAGGCAGGTCGATAGGTCAGCAGCTAAGGAGGCCTAATACGCATGCAAATCTCCTGCGCATCTGTCTCTGTGTCTGACGCTAAGGAGGCCAAATATGCATGTAAATCTCGTGCGGCTGCCGTTGTGTTTGACGTCAGTGTGCGAGGACTATTGAAATTGGCATGGAAGTCCTCGTGTAATTTAAATTGATTAGTCTACATTCTTAATGTCTAAGTCTACAATTTTATTTCACAATGAAATGGAAATATAAGGAATCACTATCTATTTGAGAGTATGCCAGGGACATCAACAATAGTGGGAAACATGGGATAATTTTAGCATAATGGGCTTTGCCCGTTATGCAAATTATCCCATGTTTCCCACTATTGTTGATGCCCTGGCATACTTCTCAAAACTAGACAGTGATTCCTTAATTGAAATGTCTAATTCAAACAGTCCGAAAATTACGTATGGAACATCTGAATGTTGCAACAAACGTTCTTTTTCAACAAAAGCATGACGATTCTAATTGTTTCTATTCTATTTTTTGTTTTATGTTGTAGCCTTTGGTTTCATCTTATCGGCACTTTCAGTTCTCGTGGCTGGGATTTTGGAAATCTATCGCAAGAAAGATATTGAAAATAATGGATATATTCAACAAAAACTGGCATCAGATACTTTCAATGCTTCTCAAATTTCCATATTCGCCCAAGTTCCGGAATTCGCTCTTGTAGGAGCTAGTGAGGTTTTTGCCAGTGTTTCTGGTAAGATGAACAAATGTTTAAACAATTCTGAATCGATGGAAATCTCAAATATCACAAGACTTGTTCAGATTAAATCAATTAACTAAGACTAGTAGAGATGATGGTGGATGGCTTAAGTTCTTTTTTGAAAATGAAACGATACAATGATGTAATACATAATTTGACAATGGAGCCAACAGTTTTTTTTTTAAAAAGGACCTGATCCCACTTCTGATGTTTTAGAGGTCCATGACTGCTCTGCTCCCAATTTAAATGGACTTAAGAATTTGAATACTGTTCGTTACTTCCATGTTTCATTAGATTAAGTTTTTATTTTTAGAAATAGTTTATCTTATGCATCCTGCTTAAAGATTTTAAAAATGTTTCTCGAAAAGAAAATAATACTGTATACAGGGTTATTTTCGTCCCGTCTTATTTTCGCCCTTTCACACTTGCGAACAATTTTGCCCCGTTTTAAATTCGCCCAGTCATAGTTATTGTTAACGAAATATTACTGTATTCTTTGAACTCGCCCCGTTTTAAATTCGCCCAAATGAGGGTAGGGCGAAAGGGGCGAAAATAAAACGGGGCAAAAATTTCCCTGTATACAGTAATAATAAATAAAAAATGTTCGTCGCTTATACCATTCTCTTTTATTTCAGGTCTGGAATTTGCATACTCTCAAGCACCCTCATTTATGCAGGGTCTGGTTATGGGTTTATTTTTAATGATGTCTGGATTAGGGAACTACGTCTCTGAGGCCATTCTGGAGATAGTGAAGGAGGCATCAGGAACTAAGCCACCAGGTGGGTCCTGTTATAAAAACAGTAATCACACGGTCTCAGAAGTCTTAATTGGAAACATAATTATAGGAAATAAATGGCAAGGGAAGAATTTTGTATGGAAAAACTATTTGAAGATTTTCATATAGAGAGTAATATTTGGAAACCACTGCATTTGAACGTTACGTTTGCAATTTGGACTCGGTAACGGTAACTGTCTTTTTTTTTATCTATACAAACATTAATGGTGCAAATCTAATTAGAAATGTCCCTGTACCTACAAAATTATTCTGTCTCTTAAATCATTATCTCGGTTTAATGCCTGTTAGCTTAAATGAATTTTTATTTTATGATGATTATCTTGCTGGAACCTGATAATTTTTATGTCTCTTTTGAGCCATTTGTGTGTGTTCTTTGCAGAATTACTTAAATTCTACATAATTAATGATGGCTTGAATTTCGTTCTTTTTAAGATGCCTGGTTTCCTGAGGAAATGAACGATGGAAAAACAGAGTATTTATTTTTCATGTTGGCTGGACTTATGGCAGCCAATACAATAGTCTTCATCATTGTGGCGTACTTTTATAAATACAGGGAACCGGAAGAACAGCAAATCCTAGAAATAGACAAAACCGTAGACGTGGACAAACCTCCGGCATACGATTCTGTGGGTCACGGGTTTGACAATCGGGGTTATTATAAGGGGGAGCCAGAATGCACGAAATTATAAGCTTTCAAAGCTTCTTAGAAGGAATCTGCTTACAGTCAAAATGAACATTTGTTTTCAGGAGGTGATTGCTTAAGTTTCCAATTACATGTATTAAACGAATTCTACTTTTCAAAACAGAAAGAGCTTACATTTTTATTGTCCCAGACAGTGATCTAGTGATATATAATCAAATGCGCTTTCTTAAAAAAAAAGAACAGCCAATTATATTTAGTGCCATGATTTTCAAGTCTATATATACCCAATCTCCCATGCAGAGTTGTCGTTCGTTCCTCTCTCAGTGAATGTATGAGCCGATGGTAGAGAGTGATATATACCGGTTGTTGATTGTAAGAAGTCAAAAAAGAATGTGATGCATTGGAAATCCAATTGAAATAAAAATCAATGTCTCTGAAATCCATGTATATACATATATTATCTTTCCTCAGGTTAGCAAAGTCATAAATTCATCATGTCATAATGCAATACACATATACGAGGGCCGTTCAAAAATTACGCGGACTTGTTGCACAGAAAAAATATTTGACAACATAATCGGGCAAAATGTCACACATAATATAAAAGAATCTTTACTTATATGGTCTTCAAAATTTCACATAAAAATGTTGTAAATTGGTATCAATTTTGAGTGATTTTTCAGGACATATCATTAAGTCACGGAGCAGCAAAATCTTCGACGTCACAGGCATTATAAAAAGTATGTGATTGATCTCTCATTTTCTCAAAATTTTCCCAAGAGTACCTGTGCAGTTAGATTTACCTTATCTACTCAACATCCAAACACCATTTCTTGTCAAGCTTATAAATCGATTAAACAAGTAAAGAATATTCATTTTTGTTATAAAACCAAAAACTTCAGGTATTTATGAGATATATTGTAATATTAGTGATCATTTCTTTACAGTCCGGATAAAGTTTTCGTCAAAAATCTTCTTCCCGTCCTCACGTATAGCCTTTTTACAGAGGTCTAACAGTCTAAAATATCAAATTGCTATTTGTGGACGAATGTCACGAATACCCTAGTTTACTACATGTTTTATTATGCATATTTTGGATTTATGTTGGCGATATCTCGAGCATTATACATAATTTAACAAAAGTGTGGTGCGCCGTCCATTCAGGAGACGTCATTTTCACAGTCGTTTTCACGGGAATCGCATCAGAGAAAAATCACTATATTTCTTTCAATACTTCAAATATCACGTCAGAAATCTAAATACATAATAATAGAACAATTTAAAGATATATTTGAGAAAATTGTCGAAAAATGTTGCGAATTATAGAAAATAAATGAGTTAAATTTTGGATTCCGCATGCTTTTGCTTTAAATTTTTTGTCTTGCTCCGTACCTCTCCATCAGCGATATCAACATTCCGATAATTTTAGTAAAAAGTTTTTAAAATACAAAATTTTTGCTCAAAATTTATTGGAATCTTTAAGATACATATTTCTGTGAAATTTCATAACTATATGACGTCTTTAAGAGTAAATAATAGCCCAGTCCGCGTAATTTTTGAACGGCCCTCGTATGTTAATCTGTATGTGTTGTTTATATATTCAGATTTTTTTGTACATTTTATTGTTTCGTTGTATACTTTAAAATCGGCGTAGTGACATACTATTATAAAAGTGTTTTATTAAATATTTTTATTGTTTACCTCCTTTGTTTTTATTTTTTGATCAAATTTACTATAAAGCATTTTCGGGTAAATTAAAAGGAACAAAAAGAGTTACGCAGGGGTGAGCCAAAACTGTCAAAATTGGAGCAATTCAAATTTTTTTTATTCATCAGTTGTTCATCCTGAAACTTCAGGATCATGAAACAGATTACAAACATATCTACAAAGTCCAGCAAATACTCTACCAAGCCCTTTACTCCTCACAAAAATTTGAACTGTTTAATAAAAAGGAGATATTTTAAACCTACTGTGCTTTAGTATATTCGTATTGTGTGAATCAAATGTGGATTCTCAAAAATTCCAAAATACTTTACTTAATTCAAATTCATAAAACCTTTTCAAAAATTTGAATTCTTAAAACATTAAAACATTTTCAAAATCAAATGCATTAACACATTAAAAAAATTCAACTTTTGGAACTTGATATACATGTAACTATTCCTCATAATATTAAAACAAGGCTAAAAATGAAATGTGGAAATTTTCATCTTTTGTGTTTGGGCAATGGCGGGCATCCTTAAAATAACTTCAAGTCCACTCTAATTCTAGCCATAAGTATACTCTGAGGTTGACATCAAGACAGTCTCTCATTGACAACAATGAACAACATTTGTAGTCTTTGGAGACCAAGTGATTTAGTCTTTCAACAATCTGCATAAAAACACACTTGCATTGCTTTCAACTCCACGATCAAATAAATGGACCATGTTTTATCAATAACAATTGTCAATAACATGCAAGAGTTTTCTTCTTTTTGCGTTTAATATTTTGGACGAATTCTGCTTCATATGAATACAAAAATAGGTCTGCTAATAACGGGGCGCAATGGGAATGCGTGAGAATTCCAATAGATTGTTGGAAAACCTGCTTGCAAAAAACACAGAGATATTGTCGATTAGACACTCAAGCATCTTAGATTTTTTTAAAATACTAACTTCAGAATACTTGTGTTTACAGAAAGTTTTTTAAAAATGACCAATGCCGTGATGAGTACATCAATGAGCTCCATTTTAATTGAAAAAACAGATGTCAATATCAAAAAGCCTGGAATTAATTTATCGTGGGGAATGGTTGTATCTTAAGTTGAAAGTCGTAAGTTTTGATGCTGTTGATCTTGGTAAATTCTGTGATTTCAAAGTTCCTTGAAATTTTTAAGTATTCACTCCTGACTTATGCCACTTCTCGAATATATTGTTGCCCAGTACTCCAGAAGTTTCTCCTTCATATTGTAAAATATCTTAGTGAGGAGTAAAGAAAGAGGTTTGGTTGAACATTTACTGGAACCCTCTAAGTATCTTTATTTGTAAGGGTTTTATGAAGTTTTGGAATCCAATTTAGATATGGTAATTCAAATTCATTATGGTTAACAGAAATATTAAACATATTAAAACTGACATGTGATTTTGAAGAATTTCCTTAGAAAGGAAGCTATTGGTATTAGTTGGATTAGCACTGGTAGAATTAAAACTCAGTTCCTCTAACATACACTAACAGTATAAATCATGAGCCTTATATAATTTAAAACTATGTTGTTACCTGAAAAATGATATTAATTCCTATAAATTTCAAGTTTTTTGACATTTTTTTTTTTCAAATCAATATACAGATGCAGATTAGCAGATGATCATTTTCGTAACACAGACAGTGACAATGAAAGAGTTACCTCCCTAACATCAGCAAGAGTATGACAATTTTTTTCATCCAAGAATTTTTGTATCGAGTAACTAGTACTCCGAAAAACCTGCCAGACAGTCTGGTTATGAGATACGAGTTAAGCAAATTATAATACATATACTTGCAAAATCTATAAGCTTGTTCTCTTCAGAATTTCTGAGTTTCTTAAAATATTCTGTGATATGAAATAGTGATTTAAACACGGTTTCTTTTTGTAAAAGATAAAAGATATTAATGTAAAGGATATAACCCCCCCCCCCTCCAAAAAAAAAAAAACCTACATTTTATGAGAAAGATTTAATCGAGGTCCAGATCAGCTTTAATGACTTTCTCTGACAGAATGTAAATTAAGTTTAGGCGTACCTCCTACTTAAAACACTATAAATTGATAGTGTCATAATTGCTTGTGTTTATAGTGATGATGTTTCCTATAAACAATTGTCTTCACAATCTATTCTCTAAAGTCAAACTTTCTACAACAATAAAAGCATATCGTTTTTTCTATCTTATACACTTACTTCAATTTCATATAAATCAGTTATCTCTACCATTTAGTCATGGCCTTTAGAAGAACTTGATTTTATTTCTACATGTAAATATTGAAATACAATTTATACTCGTAGTTCACTTTCTAAAGATGAAATTCTTCAAAATCTCATTTCAGTCTTTCAAATTTTTCACATCGTAGCCAACTAAGGTGAATTCGATCTACCCTGCCCATACTGAATTTATAAACGGCATAAAAATCCTTATAATGAAATAAATGGAGATAACGAACAATATTTAAAATAAAAAAAACATAAAACAATACAAAATAGGAGCAGAGTAACAAACAATTAACAAAGAGATATGAGAGGGTCAGGCAAATGCTCAACCAATCCCCTATCATCACGCCACAGAAAAATAATACTTACTGGAAAGGAGAAAGTTCAAACGTTCTGAGCATATTCTTGTAAAATCACCAATTTTTTCACACACACCAAAAACGTAGGACATTTAATATATTAATTACAAAATCATTTATCAAAAAACATTAAAAATTATGCTTTTTGTTATTAAAGACAACTGCTTCTTCAATGGAATGGATCTAGAAAATTGTCATATTTTGGGATGAGGCTCTACAAAACTTTGCAAAGATTCACTTTTTTCTATACATGAGTACCCTGAATTAGATTTTACAAAGATGCTAGAGTTTCTTATTGACTAGGTCACCCAGAAATCTTTTGGAATATTAATGGAAACTAATTTGGATCCTTTATTAGCGCTAGCCATCCTGTTTTTTAAAAAAATATTTTTATGAAGTAGAATTTGTTTAAAAAATCTCCTTATAAGAAGAGAAAAACTCTTGCTGTGGCCTTCAATTCAAAATCCAAATACTGGTTCATCTTTATCGACGAGGTTTTATTTAAATTAAAGTGATTACTTCCATTCATGAGTCAACTCGATATATCCAAGTGAGATCAAAATAAAAGACATAAAGCCCCCCCCCCCCCCCCACATCTGTGTTATTTAAACAATAAAATGCCTTCTTTGTTTGTTAATACTGGAATGAACGGAAGCAGCTGTTGCAGAAAAAGTACATAACCCGCGTAAGATTGATGGAACAGCCAATGATCAAGAAATCTGTACAGGCGACATGCCTAATGTGGTTCATGCAGTGATTAACGCAATGGGTTTTCGTAAGAAATAAAGGAGAAAATATTCAGAGGACGTAAATATATTTAGATATAATTGGATGTTTTACTGATTCTACACAATGAGGGTCAACGAACAACTAAACCGTGTGATGTCAAAGAGATGACTTCAACTCATAAAAAGCTGACCATCTTTAAATTCATTTAAACATCTAGTGAAGTTATAAAGCACTTTATTCTTCTTTTCTGTTGCAATGTGTATAGTGTTGGCTCTCAACAATATGACAAAGATGTAGGCTAAACAGGAGTGGTGACAACCCATATTTCAGTCAATAAGTATGGAATGCTATTTAACAAACCATTTGCTGAAATTTCTGTAGGAAATAAATGAAATGTAGGTTAGAGTTTTAAAAACCTTTTTGATATAAATCTATCCCTCCTACAACCCATTCACATTCCAGCAATTTAGCAGGTTCTCTATTCATAAAGCTAAAATTGAGGTGATCTTTTGACATCGGTACCCATTTAAATATTTCAAAATCTAGACTAAGGAATGAAAATCATCTCAACATGATTAAAATTTTTAAAAATAAAAATATCGTCAATTACCAAGCACGCACCACGATTTTTTTTTTCATTTAATTGTGTGTGTGTGTGTGTGTTTGCAATTGTGTGTGGTTTTCCCCAATTTAAGTAATCTCTCCCTTATACTACTGTTTTTCATTTTGGTTCAAGAGTAGAAAAATTTGTGAATTTCAATAATGCTTTCTTATTTACTTATGTAGCGGATGAGATCCAAACCTGTTATATATACATGTATATATATATATATATTCTATTTTATGTCAGTTTGGTTCAACTACATGAGCTGAACCATCCCAAAGCAAAATTAATAATCAAAATAATTAATATTTGAATGATAATACTAAGTATGTTACATTATAAATAAAAATCTGCATCATGCTAGCTTGAATATATGAGAAACCTCTGTTATTCCAAGTTTCTTTTTATGCCCCCGTAAACAAAGTTTCGGAGATATATGTCCGTCCATCTGTCTGTCTAGCTGTCTCTTTGTCTGTCTGTTTGTCCACAAATTCTTTAACCTTGCCCATAACTTTTGCTTTAGTAGAGCTATGACTTTCATATTTCACATATGTATTCCTTGTGACAAGCCCTTTCTTTGGGTACCATCAAATTTGACCTTTTGACCTTGAAGTTTGACCCACATTAACACAAAAATTACAAACTTTTACTTTGGCCATACTAGTATCTGAAAGCTAAGGGCTAGTGCTCTCATACTTCTTATATGTATTCCTTGTGAAAAGACTCTTCATTGGATATCAAGAACTTTGACCCTTTGACCTTGACCTTGTGGTTTGACTTACTTTTAAAAAAAACAAACATTGACCACATCTTTTGAAGAGTTAGGGCTAATGCTTTCATACTTTACATATATAATCCTTGTGACCAGATTTTTAATTTGATAAGAATTTGGACCCTTTGACCTTGACTTTGGAGTTTGATCTACTTTTTAAAATTTTAACCATGGCCATAACTTTTGAAGAGTTAGAGCCATACTTTACATATGTATTTTTTGTGGCAAGACCTTCCATTGAATACCAATTGCTTTTTGACCTTGGAGATTTCCATACTTATGAAAAAAACTTTAACCTTGGCCTACTTTCATATTTCACAATTGTATTTCCAGTGAGAATACCCTACTTCAGGTACCAATATAATAAATTTGCACTTAAGAAAAATTTAATCTCCGCTATGTTGCCATATGGAGGCATCTTGTTTCCTATATATTTCTATGTAAAACTTTGATTCCCTATTGTGGCCCTGCCCAACCCCCAGGGGTCATGATTTTAACAATTTAGAATCTACACTACCCCAGGATGCTTCCACATAAGTTTAAGATTTTCTGGCCCAGTGGTTCTTGAGAAGATTTTTAAAGTTTTTTCCTTTATATTTCTATGTAAAACTTGGATTCCCTATTGTGGCCCCGCCCAACCCCCAGGGGTGTGATGGGTTTTGGTCCTTCATTTTAACAATTTAAACTCACCTTTACCTAAGGATGCTTTGCACCAAGTTTGGTTAGAATTGGCCCAGTGGTTCTTGAGAAGAAGTCAAAAATGTGAAAAGACAGACGGACGACAAACAAAATGTGATCACAAAAGCTCAGGCCAGCTAAAAATGCTGCGCAAAGTCATGCGCTCTCGAATTAGATTCAGCCTTATTAATTTTTTTTAAAAAAATTAATAAAGACAATTATTACATATCTAAGTGTAGTCTACTTGTATGCCACATAATATTAAAAACAGACTAATCAGTTTGGAGTAGCATTTTGAAAGTATTTCACAGAAATTTCTAATTTTAGTTACCATGGCAACACTGTTCATTGAAATCAAAAACTATATACAGAGCTATGTAATTTATTGTAGTCTACTTGTGTACCAAGTTATACTGAAATTGAAATTGGACTAAAACTGTAGGAGGAGTAGCATTTTGAAAGTATTTCACAAAAATTTCTATTTTTAGTAAACATGGTAACACTGTTCATTGAAATCAAAAACCAATGCAAAGAATTATATACCTTAGTGTAGTCTACTTGTGTGCAAAGTTATATTGAAATCTGACAAAAACTATAAGAGGAGTAGCATTTTGAAAAATGTTTTACAGACAGACAGATGGACGGATGCCGTATGCTTTACTATTGCATTAGCTCTTCTGGTCTCTGAGCAGTAGATCTTAAAATGAGAATACACTTATATAAACAAATCTTTTAAAAATTTGTTCTTTTTACTTGTCTATATTTCCCCCCATTTGGATCACTTTCCAATGACAATGAGCACGCGGCGGGTGTGACCGGTCAGCAGGGGATGCTCACTCCTCCATGGCACCTGATCTCACCTCTGATGTTTCGGAGGTCCGTGTTTGCTCTGCTCTTATTTTGTATTGTTTTATGGACTTTGAGATTGAATATACTGTTCGTTATCTCCATATCCTTCTTTCCATGTGTAGGCTAAACAAAACAATGTGTTTTTGAGTGCCTCTCATATTACATGGTCAGCCTAGTCCCTATAAAAAAATTTTAGGTACAAAGATAATGTATTTTACTCCCATTTTTATTAATCTTTAAACATAGATAATCAAAGATTACAAAGCTCACCTCAACGAATGTTATAAGTGTAAGTAATGCAAATCTCACATCATTTTTTCTTAATATTAAGTATTTATCCCAACAACAATATTCTTGCAAGTTGTGTTTAGCCCCTTACATGGTATATACACATTTCTACACGTGTAGCGTGAAAAACATGTATTATAGTGTAAACAAATATTTATAACTTTGTTATTACTGCAGATATCTAGGACTACAAATTCATTGGGATTGATCTGTTCCCAAAACTTAAACCTGGTCTCTTGTATGGAAAATATAGGTCAGATCCAACAACCGAAGCAAGTCTGGTAGTATCCATCCCTAGATGAATCATCTATGCAAGTTTGGTTCAGGTAGGGTTTATAGTTACTTGGGAATGGACTTGCTCCTAAAACTTTAACCTGGGACGCCGACGCTAACTTCGTCGAGGTGAGCTAAAAATGGTGAATGTAATATGTTTTACATTTTTTAAAAGATCAAAATAATTTACTTATATTTAATTGACCTTTCACTTACATAAATTACAATAATAAATTATTACCATAATAGGTGAATGTCATAGGGCAAAACTTTTTATAAACAGAAAACAAATAAATAAATTGATTAATTGCCATAAGGGGTGCAATTTCAATAATCTGCTAAAAATTACAATTGCTTTTTCAAATTTTTAAAGCTGTGTTTGCCTCTTAAATGTTCAGAAACAGAGATGAATATTTTCAAAGAAATACGTACATTATCATTATAATCCAACAGAGCCCCAAACCTAATACCAGAGCCCCTGACCAAGGGACCAATTACAAAACACACAATTTGACTTGAAAAAAATAACCCCTCTTGTTCATTATAAAGTATGTATATGTGCATAGTAATACCCTTGGACAGAGAAGATTTTTCTCCAAAAGAAATGGTTATATCATATAATTATATTATATCTAGTATATTGATTCAAAAGAGGCCAGGCCTAACTCCAAATCCCTGCATGACCCAGATATTATGAAATTCAAAATGAAAAGTTTGTCAGCTGATTGACAACAAGAGGCCCATAGGCCACATCGCTAACCTGAGAATCTTTGACCATTCTGTTTTTTAACCGATTGTAATACATATTGTGATCCAACCCTACCCCAATGATCATATGAATTTAAACAATTTGAAATCTACACTACCTCAGGATGCTTCCACATAAGTTTCAGCTTTTCTGGCCCAGTGGTTCTTGAGAAGAAGATTTTTAAAGATTTTTCCTATATATTTCTATGTAAAACTTTGATTGCCCATTGTGGCCCCGCCCTATCCTCGGGGGTCATGATTTGAACTACCGTAAATCTGGAAATTTTTAATGTAGATAAATTTTTAGCAAATTTGCACGTGCATTGCAGTCGCAAAAATATTTTTCTTAAAAATAAATCAACATGTGAAGATTTTTTTCTGAGAGCTCGTGTCTTTTTTTAAATCAGAGAATAGGCATGGTAAGCACTGGTCATTTTTAAAAGAAACCTGTTTATACTACTATAACTACAATTTAATTACCCGTGACTGTAAATTGCCCTCATTATATGCAATATCATTCGATGGTTTGACAAGCACTTAGGCAGTATGCCCCTTTTTAATTATTTTGCCAATAAAGAGAGAACTGTTATTTTATCTAACCGTGTATCAACACGGGCGATAACTCGAACTCAGTGCATTTACTAGAGAGTTCCAAATGTAAACACGGCATGTAAATTTTTAAGTGAGAGAAAAACCAAACGTTGAGAAAATTAGTTATATTTTTTACTTCATTTGGATTATATTTTAGTTTAAAAGACATACACAACCTCTAAAATGTTTGTTATATAATCAATAAAGAAGTTATTTTCAGTGCAAATCCTTTTACATGTATTTTATCAAAATTGTTTCGGAGCGATTCTGCAATTTCTTCAATTCTTGTCACGTTACGAGTAAATTCTACGTGGTATTCTAACTGTGCATACTAATTTGAAAGAATACCTGGTTTGAAAATCTTCAGTGATTTTTATTTTTAGCGCCAGTGACAATTCGCAAAAATTTGAAGCGTATTAATCAACAACTTTTTGACCCAAATTCGCAAAAATAAATCGTAGTAAAAATTTCCAGATTTACGGTATTTAGAATCTACACTACCCCAGGGTGCTTCCGCATAAGTTTCGTGTTATTTACAACAACCTTATTTATATTTTCAAAAGAGAATGTGTAATAAATATAAATTAAGTATATTAGTACTGTAATTACTTCATAATAATCTTCCTTTCGCCGGCCTGACATGACTGCAAACACCAGTGGCACCTGCTTCATGCGATCTCCTGACTTCACAAAGGCATGGATGGAGAGGAGTTATTTCCATGGGTTGTTGACAACTCGGAAGGTTCCATCCATGTACCATGTCTTGGCTTTTGCGAGGAGTTCCATCTGCCTGTCAGTGTAGAAGATCAGGTGACGGTTGTTGCCCACATCAAGGTCCCTCCGGAAAAACCCTGGACACTGCTGGTCCAAGAACTCGTGCTCAATCTGGAATTTTGTAAAGTTGTATTAATTCACACGTAATGCAATAGTTTACGTTTTTATAGAATAACAATTATAGAATAATAACTAATTATAATATAAATCATTTGAGATTATTGTTTAAAGTTTGTATGGTCTAATAAATAAGTGAATTAATTATAAATTAATTTTTAACTTCCATACAATATAAGTCATGTAAATTTATTTTAAAAAAAGAAAGAAAGAAAAAAAGAAAACAATGATTAAAGTAAGCTCTCACCTCAGCATCCAGGTTAGCTGGATCCTTTGGTCTGTCCATCTGGCGAAGCCGATTACCTGTCTGGACAAGGTAATTTGGATTGGGGCGGCTGGCTTCTGGGGCTGAAGGGTCAAAATGACTCCGCATGGCAGCCTTCACGATCATTGCTGATGTTGGTTTTCCATACGATGCCTGCTTAGCCTGCTCCTTCACCTAATAATACATACTGTACATATTAGACATTAATACAAAACATTAATACTACAGTTTCCCTATATATCTTTACAAAAAAAATATTATTATAATTTGTGAATAATAGATCTGGAACAATAATATTACACATGTACTACATGTATTATACTTTTATTTTAATGTAATTTTTTCATTTTTTTTTTTTATATATTACACAAACTAATATAAATTTGAAAATATAGAAAATTTCTCACCTCAGTCTTGATTTTAACGGCGATGTGCACTCCAGGTTGTCCAGGATGCCCCCTCGGAGTCCACCAGTTTGCGCTTCCCCTTGTTGCTACCATTCTCCACCAAGTGGTACTCTGTGGGGTGATTCTCAACGATAGAGACATGCAAGGGCTTCTCTTCAATGGATTCCTCGAGTACAGGCTCTGGGATGTTGAATGACCTATCAACTATGATGGACTGGTCCTAAGAAATGTAAAAAAATATTATAAATTGAACTGAAAGCACTGTTGCATCTGAACTTTGAAATTATAATTTAGAAGTCTATTGCAAAAAATACCTTTTTTTAATACACCAGTAGATAAAGTGTTAAAGATTCATAATACGTGTATTAAAACAAATTTATTATGTTTAAAGGTAAAAATAAATTACCACTCTAGGCTGCTGATTGTCAGGATCTGCAAAAGATGATCCCAAGGAGACGTGAAAAGTGGCATCAGCTGCTGGTGGCTGCTGGATGCTCTCTTCAACATCAATGTTTTGACTACTCCTAAGTGCCGTTTTGCATATTTCCAAAGTGCCGTTTTCACCAGGTACCGTTTTGACTTGTACCCAGTTTATCTATGTCGGCCTTGTGGGCTCCAAGTTCAAGGTCGATGTCTGCCTTCATCGCCTTAAATTTCTCGTCAATACTGGCTATAAAGTCATTTTTGAATTTATCTAATTTACTTTCAACCATGGATTGAAGGGATTGTTGACCTACTTGCAGTTTTTGGACAGCCTCAGCAATGACAGTAATTTTGTCCACCATATCCTCTATACTAGTGTCCGCCATTTTCACAGTCTTTGTTGATGGTTTCGGGGTATTCCCATCAGAAGATAGTCGACGCTTTCCGTCGGGTTTGTCCGTTTAAGGCATCAATGCAATACTTAAAACTAGTTTAAATATGATAATTTTTTTTAAACTTGTTTAGGTATCAGCCAACAAGAGGCCCATGGGCCACATCGCTCACCTGAGCACTGTGGCTAGGAAAAAACAATTCAATAAATGTCTGCAAGTGGTCCCGATCCTAAAAGAGGGAAGGGGGTATGATCTGAACAAACTTGAATCTACACTAACTAAGGGTGCTTACATTTTTTTTTTTGATAACTGTGGCTTATATCCCAATAAGTTATTATGTATTTTTGTGGTCCCACCCAGTCCTGTGGGTCATGATTTTAACAAATCTTTACTACCTGAGGATGCTACCATATAAACAAGACCAATGAAGATTTTTATAGATTTTTCCTATATATTCCTATGTAAAACTTTGATCGTTCATTATGACCCTGCCCTACCCCTGGGGGTCATGATTTGAACAAACTTGAATCTAAACTAGCTGAGGATGCTTCCATATAAAAATGACCAATCATGGCTTTGCTGTTCTCCCCATATATTCCTTTGTAACACTTTGATTGTCAATTTTGGCCCAACCCTTCCTCCAGGATCATGATCTGAACAAACTTGAATCTACACTACCTGAGGATGCTTCCGTATAAGTATGACCAATCATGGCTTTGTTGTTCTCAAGAAAATTTTTCCTGTATATTCCTATGTATAACTTTGATCCTCCATTGTGGCCCAGCCCTACCCCTGGGGATCATGATTTGAACAAACTCAAATCTACACTACCTGAGGATGATTCCACATGAGTTTCATCTTTCCTGGCCAAGTGGTTCTTGAGGAGAAGATTTTTGAAAGATGCCATTAATTTTTCAGTAATTTTCAATTATCTCCCCTTGGAATGGAGTGTGACCCTTTATTTGTACAAACTTGATTCCCCCCTCACCCAAGGATACTTTGTAACAAGTTTGCTTGAAATTGGTTTAGCGGTTCTTGAGAAGAAGTAAAAACTGTGAAAAGTTTACAGTCAGACGGACGCCAGACAATATGTGATCAGAAAAACTCACTTGAGCCTTCGGCTCAGGTGAGCTAAAAGGTGTTAATATTCATTTAAAGAGAGCAACAAAGTTGCATATGCAAGTACATGCAATGATTTTGCACTGATCATTTCAGCAAAACACTGCAACATTATAGAAGATACCAGTGCTAGAAATTATTTGATAATTGATCTTTAAAAAGTTTGATCAGCTTTGTCTACATTATATTGACACTCGATCAATACATTCAGTAAAATGTACTTATTTTTAAAACACCAAAACTTCTCCTCTGCTTTTTAAGGGCTTGGAACCTTCTGCTTGAAATAACATGCAAATATGTTAATTCAGGCAGGCAGCATTAAAAGTTTTGTGCCTTTTTTAATTTTTTTTCTTTTTCTTTCTTTTTTTGGTTTTGTTTTTCTTTCATTTTTTTCATCTTCTTTTCTTTTTTTGTTTTTTCTTTTTTTCTTTTTTTATCTTTTTCTCTCTTTTTGTTTTTGTTTGTTGTTTTTTTTTTTGGCACAAAACTTGCCAATGAGATTAAATAATTTCACATTACAATTTACAATTTTTACATTAACAATTCACAATTTCACATCAACAATTCACAATTTGACATCAACAATTCACAATTTCACATTTACAATTCACAATTTTTGCATTAACAATTCACCATTTCACATCAACAATTCACAATTGCATTAAAAAAACAGAAGTCTCTGACGAGACTGTAGCTCTACTAGTTTGTACTTATAACAAAGGATGAGAAAAGAATCCATTGCCATCAGATAAAAATTGTAGGAGGAGTAGCGTTTTAAAGGAATTTCCAAACATTTCTATTTTTAGTAACCATGGCAACACTGTTCATCGAAATCAAGATCCAATGCACTAAATTACTAGTATGTATCTTAGTGTAGTTTACTCTACTTGTGTGCCATTAAGTTATATCAGACAAAAAAACTGTAGAAGAAGCAGCAACATTTTACAGGAATTTCACAGAAATTTCTACTTTTAGTAACCATGGCAACACAATTTATGGAAATCAAAACCTGATGCACCATTTTATGTATCTTGTGTAGTCTACTTGTGTGCCAAGTTACACTGAAATCAGACCAAAACTGTAGGAGGAATAGCATTTGAAATGAATTTCACAGAAAGTTCTATTTTAGTAACCATGACAAGACCGTTCATTGAAATCAAAAACCGATGCATTGAATTATATATCTTAGTGCAGTCTATTTATGTGCCAAGTAAATATTGAAAGCAGACCAAAACTGAAGGAGGAGTAGCATTTTGAAAAATTGTTTACAAACAGCTAGGCAGATGGCGGAACGACGAACACCTTACTATTGCAAAAGCTCTTCTGGTCTCTGACCAGTAGAGCTAAAAATCACAATTTTACATTCCCAATATCTTGATTTAATTAACATTCACAAATCACAATGTAACATTTTTAGAGACAAATCACTATTTTTCATTTTCAAATGCAATTCACAATTTTATATCCATTTCTTTCAAAGTAATATTTAAATTCTCGTCATTATATATTATATATATTAATATGCATTCATTTTCACAATAAGCCATTATAACCAAGAGTTGACTATACAAATTATTACTGCTACAATAGCTGCGACGTCAGACAGAATTTACATGTTCTAGGAATACTTATGTCATATTTAACAATTACTACATCTAAAACATAATTAACTAATAACCCTTTCCATGCCGAATAACGTTACGTATACAAAGTTAAGGATGCTGTACTATGATGTCAACTGACACGTAAAATTATTGTGTGAGAGAAAAAGCATCAAATCGATCATGAAACAAGCTCCTGTTTAACCAAGGTATAGGATGTAAGGAAAATGTGTAGAAAAGAGTAATATTTAGTCCCATAGTTTTTAATTTCCATGCAGTATAAATTTAGCAAATATTAATCCTATAGCTAGCATTTGCAATGACAGACTTTATAACTATTTCACAAGAAAACGAGCCCTAATATAAGTCTGGTACTTTTTGAATGTAGATATGCAGAACTTCAAGAAATATGTAATAATTTATCTCATATTTTCAGTATAAACAGAGTTGAAACTTGTCATAAATGATTAAGGAGGTCATTTATCAATAGTACATACTGATATAACATGAATTTATTAGAAAGGCTATATTTAAAATAATGTCTGTTTGCCCTTTCCTGTCTCAGGGTAAAATGACTGGGATGGTAGGTAAGTGGGATTTTTTTCTTGAAAACATATTTGTTATATATAAAAATAATATATCATATAAGACCAAAAAAAAATATCCTGTGTTAATTGTTATTAAAACAATAAACAATTGTGTCCTGGAATGTTAAAATCAAAGTTTCAAGTTGGGACAGTTTAGTGTATCTGTTGAAAGAAGCTAGGAAACCAAACCATTTTTTAGAGATGGCCTCAGGTTGATTTTATTTTTTTCCAGAAATCTTTCCATGTTTTTAATAATAATATTACTCTTTTTAATTATAACAAATTTTATTTTAGGATCAGAAATCTTATGAGTAATGGTATGCTGAAGATTTTCATTACATTTTTTTAATTGTCTTTTCAGAATATAAATTAATCTTTATCCATTTTTTGATCTATGGTTTCTTCTGTTTACATATTATCAAGCATAAAATCACTGCCAGTATAACTTAGATATTCTTCAACAATGAGTATAATGCTTAAAAAACAAAACAATTGAACAAAGAAAAGAATTATAAAACAAAACAAAAAAAAAACACTAAATTGGATCTATATATGTATCTAGCTGTAATTTTCTTCACAATTTGAGTTGTCATAATTAAAATTTCAAAGTGACTTGTATCATCAGATTTTAATATTATTATGAACTATTTATTAATCTATTTAATACATAATTTCAATTCATTTAAAAAAAAATTTTTTTTGAAATACTAAATGCATTTTATGAGACATTATTCAGAATAGAGAAAATAAAGACTGTGTAAAATGTACACTAATTTAACTTGCTCTCTTTCTCTGAGAAAAAAAAAAACCCATATCTATGTATGTATAGGCATTGTTGGGGGAAAATAAGTAAAACTGTCCAAGGGCAATGAATCATTAAAAAAAACTTATGGTATGGTGTGCCATATTTTATTTACAATGCTAGCGTACTCCTAAACTGACGTCATAACTTCAAAGTAAAGAAATATGACATTGTATTTACACCTGTACCAATTTAAAAATAAAAAAGACCTATATACTTTTGTCAAAATATAGATTATAATCACTGTATTTAATTTAAACTGAAATAAATGATTAATAAAAGAAAAATTAAAAAAAATTATTAGAAAGCGACATTTTTGTCACTTTGGCATGAAAAGGATTAACTAATAACTAATAACCAATAACTAACTATTATCTCATTGGCATAACAATAAAAAGATAATAAAAGAAAGCAGCCTCCAGCTAGTCCCTTTCAGCTTCTCCTCCCCAGGCCAGCCTGGCAGCCGTGGCGGTGAAGGAACTTAAGTTCCAACCAGTAATGCCCCAGGGTATCGTAAAAACCTACTTACAACTAGCCTTCAACTACTTCATCTTAACAATATGGATATATATACACATGTATATACATTATAGCTAATGAAGAAAAAAGAAAAAAGCAGGGGGTCAGTGTGGGAGGAAGACGGAGTACCCGTAGAGAACCCACGTGTCCGAATGGGCGACCCCATACCCTGACATAATTCGGACACCCTTTACAAAAATATTTTCAAAATAGACTTTGAAAAAGCATTGTTATTAGAAATTGCATAATTCACATCAGTGTTCTGAAGATTTGGATTGATCCTGCATTAATTAAGTCCTGCTTCTTCATCCATATATGTTAACTACTTCTAAAATCCTTGATAAGGTCAAGAAAATCCACATGAATCCAGTTTGATTTCCTCCTTAGTCTGCTCGCCAAATCTTCAACCTTAAAATAAGAGGAATCAAATGTTACTGCATTTACTAAAATGTTGAATAGATAATGCAAAAACCAAACATATTCTGTATATCTAGATCAAGAAAAATAGCTCATACATTTATTTACACCTGCATTGAATGTCAGAGGTGCTTGTACAAATGATACAGATTTGTGAGTCTTGCATTTACAACCTTCTTCAAAGTATACTCTGATGTATACATATATTAAATGTCATGACAAATGGATAGTAAGTTTCTGAGAAACTGGAAGACTATAATAAATAACACAAAATGGTTGTTTCTATGTAGACCTATACTTGGTGCTACTTAGGGTCATAGAGCAGTGAGGGATCTTTTTTGTGCCAGCACCTACAGCGATATGGCACCTTAGTTTTATACAATATCATCTGAAGGACTGGTCTCCTTGTCCCAAATCAAATGAATATAACTTATTTTTAGAAATTTCAAGTCAAAAATTCAGAAGATAGGGAGAAAATACATATTTCTTGATGTTGTTTATAACAAGAGGCCCACGGGCCTTATAGGTCACCTGAGTATTGTGCAACAACTTTCAAACAATTAAATTCGGTCCGTGTTTAAACCGGAGGCCATGAAATTCAAAATTTACAATTTTGAAAGAGGCACCATTGCTTATCATAATTATTAACTTAGCATGCTTACTCTATTTACTTAATACCCAGAGGTAGATCAGAGTAACAAAGAGAAAATGCACTTCCACTTTATAACCAGTTGTGCACCTCACCCCAAAGGAACCACTAACCCAGGGCCAAATATTTCAAAATTTTGCAAATTTTATCATAAAATGGTTGATTAATACCAAGAGCAGATTTCAAAGATTTAATTTATTTTCAGGCTATGTAACCCCCCCCCCCCCTTTGACCCTGGGGGTGTTAAAAACCACTTTGCTAGATGCTCCTTTCTTCATCATAAATATATATATACTTGGATAGTTGGCTTAAAACCCAGAAGCAAAGAAAATTATTTACAAAGAATAAATGTATTTTTACTATACCGTAAATCTGAAAATTTTTGCTGTCGATAAATTTTTAGCAAATTTGCGAGTTCATTGCATTCGCAAAAATATTTTTCTTAAAAATAAATTACTAATAAGAAAATGTAAACAAAGCAGTGGTAATTCGCAAAATTTTGAAACGTAAAAATTAATCAACACCATTTTGACCCAAACTCGCAAAATAAAATCGACGTAAAAATTTCCAGATTTACGGTATAATCAATAGAGCCCCGACTTAACACCAGAACCCCTGACCCTGGGGCCATAAAATTCACAATTTTTGAAGAGGCACTCTTGTTCATCATAACTATGTGCTTAGTTAGTTTATCTAATACCCAGGAAAGAGAAGAAGATTTTCAAAGAAATAATGCATTTTCACTATATAATATAGAGCCCCGCCCATTTAACACAGAACCCCTGACCCTATGGCCATAAAATTGCACAAATTTTAGAAGAGGCACTCTTGCTCATCATAACTATGTGCTTAATTAGTTTATCTAATACCCAGGAGCAGAGAAGAAGATTTTCAAAGAAATAATGCATTTTCACTATATAATCTATAGAGCCCCGCCCTAACACCAGAACCCCTGACCCTGGGGCCATAAAATTCACAAATCTGGAAGAGGCACTCTTGTTCATCATAACTATGTGCTTAGTTAGTTTATCTAATACCTGGGGCCATAAAATTCACAAATCTAGAAGAGGCACTCTTGCTCATCATAACTATGTGCTTAATTAGTTTATCTAATACCCAGGAGCAGAGAAGAAGATTTTCAAAGAAATAATGCATTTTCACTATATAATCTATAGAGCCCCGCCCTAACACCATTTAATTTTACCTGACCCTGGGGCCATAAAATTCACATAAAATAAGAGGCACTCTTGTTCTTCATAACTATTTTAGTTAGTTTATCTAATACCTGGGGCCATAAAATTCACAAATCTTTTTTATTTTGAAGAGGCACTCTTGCTCATCATAACTATGTGCTTAATTAGTTTATCTAATACCCAGGAGCAGAGAAGAAGATTTTCAAAGAAATAATGCATTTTCACTATATAAACCATAAAGGGAAGCCCTAACACCAGAACCCCTGACCCTGGGGCCATAAAATTCACAAATCTATGACACCTCCCTGTGTACACACAATAACTATGTGCTTAGTTAGTTTATCTAATACCCAGGAGCAGAGAAGAAGATTTTCAAAGAAATAATGCATTTTCACTAAATTTCCTTTATCAAATTGTTAATTACATGTATATACAATTAAAAAAAAATGAATAAATACCTTATGAGATTCATCATGATACATGTGTATAATTATAGTTATTTGATGTAGAATATTGTGGGTTTAATAGTAAAAAAAAATTATTTCCTTTATAACAATTGTACACTGCAATTTTATATATATATTATCCTACCCCAATTCTTTAAGAATTGCATGGTGAAAAAAATTTTACAATTTTGGTATAGGACTCTCAATGCTTATTACATTCATGCCAATAGATTTTGATTATGTCCAGGCATATTTTATCCTCACTCCCTTTTAAAGATTTCATTAATTAATTATGGTTTTGGCCCCATCCCTGTAAAATTAAATGGGGGGGGGACCATGAAATGGCCACAATTTTTGTTCCCCTCCACCCATAAAATTGTATACCAAATTTGGTTGAAATTGGTTATGGCCAGAAGAAGCTGAAAATGTTCAAATATTAACACACGGGCACGACGGATGACGGACGAATATTTTATGGATAGCAATAGGTCACCTGAGTTAAAAGGACTAAAAATCTACACTTTATTTAACTTTGTTTGAACATGTTTGAGAAAAATGTATTAGCAGTGGTTTAGAGTATACATTCAGTGATTTTTTAAACCCATTGGGAAAGGGTTTGGTACCGGTTCAATTGGGAAAAATAACATCAAAGAAAAACAAAGGAGAATTTTCTCTCATTTATGCAAATGCAACATATTTTGCATTTATTCCAACTTAATAACCTATTACTCCTTGTTTTAGAGAATAAGCAACAAGTACTAATTGACTTTTATATCAACTTCCCATGTTTTCACATTTGCATGCTTTCAATTTGTCAAAATGTATGATACTACATTGTCTAAACCACAGGTCCCGCCAAATTACGACTTTCTCTACTTTCGATATAAGCGGAAGTGAAACAATTAGTCAACTTGTACAATGTTTCATTAACAAGAAATACGATGTCGGCGTAGTCTGTTGCTTCACAGTTGAATTGGGAATTTTTAGTCACAGAATTGGGAAAAATTAACGTTTTTTGGCATTGAGAACGGTGCTGTTTATCAGTACCAGTTATATAAGGAAAAAAAAAACGCTGACATTATATATAAAGTTTTTAAGTAAAATTTTAATATTGGTATGAATCAAGAGTCTGCATGCTTGGTTGAACACCATTACAAGTGCCAGCTACAAATAATGCCAACTACAAAAAAAAGAGGAGAGTCATGGACTAAAAATTTGGTTTACTAGTTAACTTTACCTTGTTTAATATAAACAATAAGATGATTTGGAATGTCATATACCTAATCAGTGTCAGCTATCCACTGTGGTATGTCTTGGTGGAAAAGTAAACCTCCATCAGGCCTTGTCCTCCATGTGTTTCCACCAATTCTTGTTGGGGGCATCTGCTGTATCTACATTTTAAAAGATCATTGTCCATCAGGGCTTGTCTGTGTTCATTGTTTCCACCAATTCCTTTTGAGTGTAGCTGGTGTTTTCACATATTGGAAAAGCAATGTCCATCAAGTTTGTCTCAAGATTCATAATGGCCTTGCCTCCTCAAGATTTTTCACCAAGTCCTTTTGGGTGCATTTGCTGTTTTCCCATCCTAGAAGATGTTCATCAAGCTTGTCTATTCCAGTTGTTTCCACAAAGTCCTGTTTGCTGCAGCTGCATCAAAAGAAAAACATGAGAGAAAATATTTCATTGAAGTTTTTTTTAGGAAAATCCATGCACATTTAACTTTTTTTCAATTAATTGTTCAAGTTGTCCCAACAGAGATTTAAGGTATGCTTTATATTTCTAAGCAAATAAAATTTAATATTGGTGTAGAGTTGGTTTATTTGGTTGAACACCATAGCAAAAGTCAGCTATTGCTGACTATAAGAAACAAGAGGCCCAAGGGCCACATCGCTCACCCGAGCACATCTGCTAGGAAAAGGCACAAATCAGATCTGAATTGAAAAGTTTACTAACGGGCAGGGAGCTTGAATTTCAATACTACTTGAGAATTCTTCCATATCAGCATATTATTTTGATGTGCTTGAGAAAAAGATTTTTAAAGATTTTCTTTAACATTTTGTTTGTATATATTACTTCTTAATAATATGAATTCGATTCCCATTGTTTCCCTCCCTACCTCAGAGGGTCATGATTTGAACAAAATTAAATCTTCAATACATAAGGATTCTTACATGTCAATAGGACTAAACATAGCTTTTCTGTTCTTGGGATTTTTCCCTTTATTTTCCTATGTAAAACTTTGATACACCATTGAGACCCCATCCTACCCTTGGGGTTTATGATTTGAACAAATTTAATTCTACACAACCTGAGGATGCTTCCATATAAATATCACTTATCATGGCTTTGCAATTCTTGAGAAGAAGATTTTTAAAATTATATTTTAATGTAAAACTTGGACCCCCCATTGTGGCCCCACCCAACCCCCGGGGGTCATGATGTGAACAAACTTGAATCTACACTAACTGTGGATGATTGCACTGGAGTTTGATTAGTTTAATCTTTTCCTGGCCCAGTGGTTCTAGAGTAGAAGATTTTTTTTAAATGCCATTAAGTTTTCAATAATTCATAATTGGAAGGAAGTGTGGCCCTTCATTTGAACAAACTTGCATTCCCTTTACCCAAGAATACTCTGTAGCAAGTTTGGTTTAATTTGTCCTAGTGGTTCTTGAGAAGAAGATGAAAATGTGAAAAGATTACGACAACAACGACGACAGACAACGGACAAATTTTGAACAGAAAAGCTCACTCGTACCTCCGGCTCAGGTGAGCTAATTAGACCAGGTAAAACTTTAGCCAGCTAGTTAACTTGAATTTGTAAATAAAACGATCTTGGCTAATGTCACATACCTAATAAATGTCAGATCAGCGTCCATTATCTATTCATCCTCAAGTTGTTTTTATCAGGTCCTTTTGGGTGCATCTATGGTTTTCACAAAGTCCTGTTGGGTCCATCTGCTGTTTCCACCATGTCTTCTTGGGTGTATTTGCTGTTCAACTATGTTTGCTGTTCCACCATGTCTTTTTGGGTGCATATGCAGTTTCTACCACGTCCTGTTGAGGGCATCTACTGTTTCCACATCTTGGAAGATCAGCATCCATTGGCCCTGCCTCCTCCAGTTCCTTCTGCCAAGTCCTGTTGGGTCCATCTGCCATAATTCCACCATTACCATATTTACAATCACATAAGCTTTTTTTGTCTCTGACCAGTAGAGCTAAAAATAAGCCAGGCTTAAAATAAAAAGTCAGCTAGTTAATTTGAAATGGTTAATTAGATGATTTTGAATCACTATTATGTCATTTACATGTACCTGATCAGTGTCAGTTATCTCCTTTGATATGTCTTGACGGGAAGGTCAACATCATCTGGCAACTCTCCTCCAGTTGATCCATCATGCCCGGTCCATCTGCAGTTTTCACATCTTGGAAGATCTGCATGCATTGGCCCTGCATCCTCCAGTTGTCTCCACCTGTTGGGTACATCTAGATCTGCTGTTTCCTCCAAGTCCTGTTGGGTGCAAAATTCTGCTGTTTCTACCAAGTCTAGGTGGGTACATCTGCTGTTTCCATCAAGTCCTGCTGAGAGCACCTGCAATTTTCAGATTCTTAAGAGTTAATATCTATAAGCCCTGCCTTTTCAGGGTGGTTCTTACGTTAGACAAAAGGAACAACTTTTATCTTTGAAAAAATTTATATAAATTTTTGCATAATTAATATGCACTGTACATTTGGAATATCAAAGAAGTGCACAATACCAATTGATATTAGTTAACAGGATCTTAAAGAGTTTCTAATTGTAATGTTCATCTTCCCCGAGTGATATTCACAAGCTAACTGACAACACCATGTTTATAAACCTGTGTTTACAACTACAAGAAGTAATTCTCTATGTGGAAAACCTATATTTCCCATAATTGTGAAAACATAGGTAATCAAAGATTACGAAGCTCACCTCGACGAATGTTATCAGTTTAAGTAATGCAAATCTCACATCATATTTTCTTAATATTTAGTATTCATCCCAACAACAATATTCTTGCAAGTTGTGTTTAACCCCTTACATGGCATATACACATTTCTAAGCCTGTAGCGTGAAAAATATGTATATGTATAGTGTAAACAAATATTCATAACTGTTAATACTGCATATATCAAGGTCTTCAAGTTCATTCGGATTGATCTGTTCCCAAAACTTTAACCAAGTCTCTTGTAAAGAAAATATAGGTCAGATCCAGCATCCGAAGCAAGTCTGATAGTGTCCATCGTTAGATGCATCATCCATGCAAGTTTGGTTAAGCTAGGGCTTATAGTTACTTGGGAATGAAAATGTAGGTCAGATCCAGCATCCGAAGCAAGTCTGGTAGTGTCCATCCCTAGATACTTCATCCATGCAAGTTTAGTTTAGCTAGGGCTTATAGATACTTGGGAATGTAAATATAGGTCAGATCCAACATTCGAAGCTAGTCTGGTAATGTCCATCACTAGATGCATCATCCATGCAAGTTTGGTCCAAATAGGGCTTATAGTTACTTGGGAATGAGAATGTAGGTCAGATCCAGCATCCGAAGCAAGTCTGGTAGTGTACATCCCTAGATGCATCATCCATGCAAGTTTGGTCCAAATAGGGCTTATAGTTCCTTGGGAATGGACCTGCTCCAAAAACTTTAACCTGGTCACTCATCTGGAAAATGTAGGTCAGATCCAGCATCCGAAGCAAGTTTGGTAGTGTACATCCCTAGATGCATCATCCATGCAAGTTTGGTTCGAGAAGGGCTTATAGTTCCTTGGGAATGGACCTGCTCCAAAAACTTTAACCTGGTCACTCATCTGGAAAATGTAGGTCAGATCCAGCATCCGAAGCAAGTCTGGTAGTGTACATCCCTAGATGCATCATCCATGCAAGTTTGGTCTGGGTAGGGCTTATAATTCCTTGGGAATGGACCTGCTCCAAAAACTTTAACCTGCTCCAAAAACTTTAACCTGGTCACTCATCTGGAAAATGTAGGTCAGATCCAGCATCCGAAGCAAGTCTGGTAGTGTACATCCCTAGATGCATCATCCATGCAAGTTTGGTTCAGGTAGGGCTTATAGTTACTTAGGAATGGACTTGCTCCTAAAACTTTAACCTGGGACGCCGACGCTAACGCCGACGCCGACGCCGACACCGACGCCGACGCCGACGCCAATGCCGGGGGTATAGCATAAGCTCATCTCGACTTCGTCGAGGTGAGCTAAAAATGTCAAGAGTTAATTTACACCATTACAAGAGTTGGGCATATGAGATTGTGAGATTATAATTTATTTTTCGCAAGTACTTATTACATTATTATTATCAAATCATGAGAATTATAATTAGTGAATGGACGGTTGATTAAGAGAATTTACATGGATTTCAGCACCATAAAAATAATTTAAGCAAGTTACTTTAAATCGCGAATGATTCTTCTCCCGAAATTATGAGATAATTAATTACTTGCATATAATTAGGAATCTACAGTAAATGAAATATTTGACGATAATAAGAACAGTTTAAAAAGGTCAGAGGCCTATATTCAAAACAATTCAAGTCAGGAGGAGAGCAAACAGTCACACCTCTAAAACATCAGCTGGGATCGGGTGTCATGGAATATCTATAATTATCAAATTGATGGAATGACTACATGTATTAAGTAGGGGTGCTGCTGCTGTAATGTTTTTAATATTAGGAATTACAGTCAAACATATAATGAGGTCCCAGAGATGGACAATTTGGCTTCGTTTCAAGTGTTCTCCATTACATCTGTTACTTGTACAATATATTATAAAGTCCAGTGAAATAAAATCATCAAGGATCATTTCACTTAACCTGTATAATTGTGCTGGCTGTAAGTGAGTTTTACTGTATTATAAGGGAGTTGAATGGGGGTATTCATGAGTAAAATTAAAATAATATACATATGAAAACATTCAATTTTACATCAAATTGTATAATTACATCCTTTGAATTAAGTAAAGATGCCAAATTTTGGGGAAATCTGTCATCTGAATATTTTTAAGTACCATCAAAATATAGGTACATTTACTTTTAGGATTACCCGGGGTATATGGGAAAGTTTTGTACTTCAAAGCAAGTTTACAAATACCACAATAGATTCTTTGCTCAAATTCTGAAGTGTATTTCTAAAGTGTACATTATAAATAAGAAATACATGCATACAGGAGGTATCTAAAAGATAAGAGATAGAGACTTCATATTTGGTATGCATACTCCACTAATTAAACACTTTCAACTGACACCAAAATCAATGACCTTGACTGTAACCTTTATGCTAAAAATAGCTTTTTGGAACTTTCGCCATAACTTTAGAACCATGAAAGATAGAGACTTCATATTTGGTATGCATTCTCCACTAATTAAACACTTTCAACGGACTCCAAGGTCAATGACCTTGTGACCTTAGCTGTGACCTATATGCTAAAAAGAGCTCTTTTCAAATTTTCGCCATAACTTTTGAACTGTGAGAGTTAGACTTCATATTTGTTATGCATACTTCACTAATTAAGCTCTTTCAACTGACACCAAGGACAACTTGTGACCTTGACTGAGACCCATTTCCTAAAAATTGCTTTTTAGAAATTTGTTGCCGCCGGGTGCATAGTGTTTCACAAACACATCTTGTTTAGTCTTTAACTTGTTTAAAAAATGATCGCATAAGAAAGGTGACCACTTCATAGAATAAAATTTTATAGGATATTCCATTGGGAAAGAATAAAATGGCCATCTAAGAAAGATAACTGCTATATACAGTGGACTGCTATATCCGGATATGTGTGCATCCGGATATCTGAATCACCAGTTAAACAAGACAAAATAACATTTAAAAATTTCGTTCCAATGAAAAATCGTCCGGATACTGAAGCATTCGGATATCTGGCGTCCGCATATCTGAAGGTCCACTGTAAATGTGATTACTATGAAGTTTGATGTATACATTGATAATCTAACAATAATACTTCATTTCAGTTTTCTATATATTTTTCAATTCTTACCAATTCAATATTTTCTATCTTACCTTATCGATGATGGTTTAGAATATGGCTTATTCCTCTTCATCTAAAGTGAATGTCCATGCAACTACAAAATACTGACAAAATTTTAAAATAGAGCTGAAATAATACATAATAAAGTCCTCTATCAGACCAGATGTTTTGGCTGAAACACACTGTTTCCTTATTATCCAACATGAAAACCTCATAACAATTAACAAAACTCATAACAATAACAAATAACTATAAAACTCATAACAACTAACTAAAACTCATAACAACTAACTGCCCCGTGGGGATCCGGGTTAGAATAGGTCCTCAGTACCCCCTTGCTTGTTGTAAAAGGCGACTAAATGGGGCAGTCATTTGGTTGAGACCGTATAAACCGAGGCCCCGTGTCACAGCAGGTGTGGCACGATAAAGATCCCTCCCTGCTCAAAGGCTGTAAGTGCTGAGCATAGGCCTAAATTTGCAGCCCTTCAACGACAATGGTGACATCTCCGTATCAGTGAAATATTCTGGAGAGGGATATTAAACAGTACACAATCAATCAATCAATCATATTAACATCTAACTAAAACTCATAACAAATGTCACAATAACAAATAACTAAAACATATAACAATAACAACTAGCTAACACTCATAGCAATAACAAATAATTTAAAATCACAACAAAAGCAAATAACTAAAACAAATAACAACAAATGCTCACAACTGTCACAATAATAAATAACGGAAACTAATAAAAACTCATACAAACAGCAAATAACTAAAACTCGTAACTATAACATTATAAATAACTATCCTCCTATACATGTAAATATAACAAATGACTGATCCCATACCAATAACAAAGAACTAACATATTCAAAACAATAGCCAATAACTTATATACTGATAGATATCAAATATCTATCAATCATAACAATAACATTATGACTCATTAAAATAACAAACAGCATACATTTAACAACACTAACAAAAGGTAAAACTTAACAAAAACAATTTCAATCTAACCAAACAAAAATAACAAATAACAAACAAAACTTAAATCAATAGATGACTATTTCTCTACAAAGAAATAACCAAAACATTAAAAAATAATGTAACAAATAACAAATAAAACATGAAAATTAACAACTTTTACAACACTCATAAACAAAAAAACTAAAATAACAACGTAATAAGGAAATAACAATAAAAACAACCTAATAAACCAGTAACAACAAAAACTAACAAACGAAACAAAATAAAAACAATCAATAACTAAAATAACAGACACCTAACATCAAATTAATACAAAGAAAAACCTCTATTCCAGCGTTGTTGGCATGCTGTTCCAATCCAATATGCCCAGCCTCCTCGAAGTCCTCCAACGATGAAGAGCCCGCCAACTCCGAATCCTTGTTGCACCATGTCCAACGATGAAGTCCCGGCAA